TTGCTCGCGAGCCCGAGTCCGAGATCCCAGTGGAGATGCCGCCAGCACAGCCGCAGCATCCAGATCGCGACCCGGTCCCAGTGGAGCCCGAGACGCCCTGCGAGCAGCCGATGACCGACCACGAGCAGCACCAGCGGGCGCACTCCAGTCATTTCCCGGGCGCCTTTGACCCAGACTTGCACGAGCAGGAGCCCGAGACTCCGCGGGCCCACCAGGGCGTGCCCGACCTCGACGAGGACCTCGACGTGGACGAAGACCAGGAGACGCCGCATCCACCAGAACAGCAGGCCCCTGCACCGGAGCCTGAGACACCCGTCGTGCAGGAGCGTCGTCATCAATGGCGTCCCCGCAACGACCCATTCGATGATCTACCTGCCAGCATTCGGCAAAACCTCCAGGCACGGAGGAGCACTCGATGCGATCCCCTCGACGATGTGCCGCAGAGTATCCGGCGGACGCTTCAAGATCGGCAAGTCACCAAGAAGCCCAGGGTTGACGAGCATATGATTATGGAGCTCTCTCTGAAGGAGTCGGTCGACTTCGACTACTCCAACCTCTACCCGACCAGGTTCAGGCGCGTGGACCTCGCGGGCAAGTCGAGGAGCAAGGAGCTGACCTTCAGGAACCTGACGGGCGGCAACCAGGTCAAGCTGAGGATGGCCATGGCTTCGGAATGGGACAAGTGGCCGGCATTCAATGCAGCGCGGTTTTGTTCCAGGGAGGAGCTCGCCCAGCTCAGGCGGAAGAAGCCACGGCAAAATGTTGTTGGTGCCAGATGGGTTTTGACGGAGAAGGACACCGACGCCTTCAAGGCGGGGCTCGCTGTGCAAGGGCGTCAGGGGAACGACATGGGCATTCGTGCGGGCGCTCCGACCGGGGGCCGCGACGCATTCTGGCTTGCGGCGGGGTTTGCAGCGCAACATGGCTAGGATGGCGCTTTCTTCGATGCCAAGAGTGCTTATTTGCAAGTAGACGGCATCGGCCGAGTCCGGATGATCAAGATGCCGATGGAGAATCCTCCCCCAGGCACTGTCCCAGGACAGATCTTCTTCGCGACGGGCAGCATCTACGGCGCGAAGGACGCTGGCAGAGCCTAGTATTTGTATACGAAGTCAGTTCTCAGCGGGTATCATGTCCATGAAAGCAAGCTGGAGCGAGGTTGGTACTGCGTGGCTCACCAGGGTGAGATCATACTGGGCATCCACTCCCACGTCGATGACATGCTCTTTGCCTGGAAGCAGTCCAACACCTACGTCCTCAAGATCATGCCAGAGCTCGAGAAACGCCAGCACCTTGCCAAGAAGGTTGGCGGCGTCGACTACTTTGGTACGAGGGTGCAGATGACGCCGGGGCTTATCAACGTGACCCAGGAGAAGGCGATCAGGGCGATCGAGTACATCCCCATTCACGCGAACCGCATGAAGATGCCGGGGTCGGAGGCGACACCCGAGGAGATCAGCAGCTTCAGGACGACGAATGAACAGGTCCATTAGGTTGCTACGAGGTCTCGTCCAGATGCAGCTTGCAAGCAGAACTTGGCAACCCAGCGCATCGGCAAGCTCAAGGTCCAGGAACTCATCAACCTCAACCAGCTGGTCACCGAGCTCAAGCAGAGTCCGACGCTGGTAGTTCGGCTCGTCCGGGGTCGAGTTCGGATCCCGACGGCGCAGCTGGTGTTCTACGGTGACTCCGCCTTCGCCAACGCCGAGGGCGAGAGGTCGCAGTGCGGTCTCGTCGGGGGTTTGACTCACAAGCCTGAGGAGGTTGCCCAGGGGAAGTTCAGCGAGTTGATTCCACTTACATGGTGCTCTGGCGTGTCCGGAGGGTGGTGCGAAGCACCCTCAGTGCAGAGGCTTATGCTATCAGTGAGGCATCTGAGTACGCCGAGTGGCACCGCCAGGTGCTGACGGAGCTGAATATGGCGGCGAAGCTTGGAGGCCCACCGAAGCTGAAGGACGTGGAGCGGCAAGCCGACAACATCAAGATGACGACCGTCACGGACAGCAAGAATCTCGAGGAGACGGTGGACAAGGACTCCGGAGTCGCGCAGGACAAACGTTTGAGGATCGTGGTCAGCATGCTGAGGGGGACTTTTGCACTTACGGCTTCGATTTTGAGGTGGATTCCGACCCGCACGATGGCCGCGGACGGCCTCCCCAAGGTGATGCATGCGGGCATGCTGATGGCCTCCATGTCCGGCCGTGACGTCAAGTTCTCGGCCCCAGCTTCCAAGTCGAAGAAGCTCGCCCAGCTGCTGACGTCGGCCACCAGGGCCATTCCAGGAGCCAGCTTCGACCTCTGGCCGATGGAGCGTGCGAGCAACGATCGACGCAGCCAAGACCTTACCATCATGCAAGCGTGCAGCCGGGCAGGATATGAAGCGATTGGGTTGCACTGCTTGCAGGGTGTGGTTTTTGGAATCATGTTCACCCTTTTTCTGCATGCTGGTGTATATGGTTATGCGGGAGACTTTGTCTTTGCAGCCTGGCACGCCGGAGGCAGACTGGCAGATGGAGACGATGATGATCATACCGGCTATGCAGTTCAAGACGCAGCAGGTCGACTTCCCCATGGACATCAAGGTCGAACCCAAGCTCGAGAAGGACGTGGGTCACAGGGTCCAGGTCAGGGATGCGATGACGATGAGCCAGACTACGTACGTGAGGGGTTTCGCGCCGGGTCCGAGGCGCCACAACCCAGTCCACAATTTCGAGGGAGATGTGTTTTGTAGACGGCCCTACGATCGTGTGAGCACTCCATGATTGTGCGGTGCTCCAACGATGCGAAGGGCTGAATGAGCACTCAGTGTGCGGTTTTCTTTCAGGAATCATAGGGTGCGTGTGAGCATTCAGTGTATGTGCTCCACAGACTAGGGGCGCCCCAGGGAGCTCCAGTTGTTCCGCATGTCGAGCCGGGGGTGCGCTCCGATTTCCGATTTCTTTTGGTTTGTTAGCCGCGAGCCCCGCTGGGTTGATGCACGTTGGCTGCCGTTTGGCAGTGTGCAAAGCCACCCCACCTCTTCCGCGTCCTACCTCCCTGACTGCACGTGCGAATTTTTACGCTAGCGATTTTGTTTTTGTTTACTGCCTCTGACCTGTGAGCTCACTTAGCAAGCCAACCAAACCTTGAGGAGCCCTGGGCCCGAGCGTGAACAGATGAGCGGTCAGCGACCGGCCGATCCTCCGTTTGATCAAGGCAGCGTTTTGATCATAGAATTGTACAGCGTTCATTTCGGAGGAGTGTGAGTGATCAGTTGTGTATGCAGCATGCTGTAGATATCTGCTATCGTTTGGCTCAGGCGCTTCGACCTGTTTTATGCGACGCAGCCGCAGCAGCAACATGATTTATTTGCCATACCCACCCAGATATCATCGACATCGGAACGACACAGTTTTGGTGGTGCGATATATGGTATGCCACCTATGTGGTGGAATATAGGATGTGCATTACATGTGGTGCTATCTATACCGCTCAATCAACGTTGTGCAAGTTATGTGTTGCACTCTGTGTGGTTCTGTGGTGCAAGGTATGTAATGCACTTTGTGTGGCGCAATCTATGTTGTGCAACCCACGTAGAGCAAACTATGCGATGCAACACATGTTGTGCAAGCTATGTGGTGCAATCGGTGTTGTCCCATGTGTACGGTACTGTCTCTCTGGTACAATCTATGCCGCACGGTCTACGCTATGCAATCTAGGGCGGCGACGGAGCGGCGACGACAACATAGCTGCAAGACCGACGGACAGGCCCAGACGACGGGCAGCGACGGGGCGGCGACGGCGACAACATAGCTCACAGACCGAGAGACAGGCCCAGACGAGGGGCGGCGACGGTGCGGCGACGGCGACAACATAGCCGCCAGACCGACAGGCAGGCCCAGTTCCTCTGACCAGAAGTAAAAACTTCGAAGTGTAAGCGTCGTTTAGGGAAAAGTCAATAAACCTTCATTCGTTTGTGTGTGTGTGTGGCTTCTAATGCGGCCGTGCGACTTTCCGACCCCATCCCCTCCGGCCCCATCCAGGGCGGCCCCCATCTGGAGAGACTGAAAGTTTCTGGTCGTGGAGGACCCCACCCCCAGGACCGCCACCTATTCCCGGCCGTCGTTTGACGGCTCCCGGGGCCAGCGAGGGTCCCCCGAGGCCGCAAGGGACCGAACACCTCCCGAAGCCGCGAGGGCGTCTATGGGGAGACCAGCCCGCGAGGCGAGGCCTGCGCCGGGGAAACAGGGGGGGGAGGGCTCGTCTCGCCGGCCCCTCGCCGGAGCGGCCTCTGCGCGGCCTTCGGGGGGCGCGCGGGGGACCCGAGCCCGAGCACGCAGGCCGCGAGACTGTCGCATCGCACGCGGCGGGCGGCGGTGAGCCGCGCAGCAGAGGCCACTCATGCCCATTCTCGAGGAGGCCACCCCGGCCCACAGCCCGAGCTCGACCCCCGTTGCGGGCGAACATAGCCGCGCGACGTCGACTCCCCAATCGAACCCAGTCGACCCCAGTCGGCCCACTGGGGTCGACCCCAGTCGGCGGCGGCCCACGGGTGCGGGCAGGTCGACGCTGACCCCCAATCGAAGGGGGGGGAACCCCACGTTCATCACCAAGCGCAGAGTACAGTCATCCCGCGTAGGAAGGAAGGGCAACCTTCCCGCAGGTACCCTTGCGTCCTCGCCTCCTCGGTCCATCTTGGGCCACTTTCGCTGGCCGCGCCCCGCTCGACAAGCCTCGAGACGGCCTTCCAAGGCCCTTGCATCCTTATCGTGCGTCGTTACGATACGGGTTGATTGTGCACAGGGTCACTCTTGCGCACAGTCGCGAACGGCAGTCGCCTCCGAACTAAGTAACTACGCCTGGTGGTGATGATTGGGCCACGCAGCTTGCCAGTTGCCATCGCGAGGGGCAGCGGAGGAGGAGGACGACGAGGAGGACGAGCAGGAGGACGAGGAGCAGGAGCAGGAGCGGGAGCAGCACGCAGAGTACGCATCTTGCGCACCGTCGAGCCTCGACGAGAGGCCGCGGAGATGGAGGGCGAGCTCCAGCTCACCGAGGCGGCGGTGCTCGCGGCGAGGGGCAGGTCGGACGGCCTGCGGGCCGCGCTGCAGGAGCCGACCGCCCCCGGCGGCGTGTCGACGACGGGTCGCGCAGTCTCGGGGGCGACGTCGGGGGGGGGATGGGCTCGGGGTGACCAGACCCGGACTCCTCCTCCTCTCCCTCTCCCTCCTCCTCCTCCTCCTCCTCCTCCTCCTTCTCCTCCTCCTCCTCCTCCTCTACCTCTTCCGCCTCACGCGCGACCCGCTGAGCCCAAACGGACTCAGTGAGACGCAAAGGCTGAGCTGATGAGGTCACCTCCCCAGGCATGATCGCGTCGTTCAGAATCAATCCGAACGGCAGGTTTCTTGCCACTGTCGGCCTCGGGGGGCGGGCCCTCGCCGGGTCTCGAACCGTCAGAAAACGACTCAGGACGAAGAACCGGTCCCGGGGGAAGGGTCGGGACCTCCAGGGACCCCGCCCTGAACAAATCAAGACGTCGCATGTCTGGGGAGCGCTCTCCGCTTGTTCTGATTCTGGTCACGCGAGCATTTTGCGGGATCTCCCCCACACTTGTTGCGTAGTCTATCAGGAGCGGTTTCTGCAGGCGCGTCTCCGACAAGTTCAGACCCCCTGGCCGCCTCCAAGGATGGAGGTTCGATGTTCGAGGTATTCGCGTTAGTTGTCCGTTCTCGTCGGATTTCCAGCTTGGGGATGCCTTCCAGCAGGTGCGCCTCACCAAGAGCGTGCCCATCGTCGCCCGGACCGCCCCCTGACGGGCGCTGGAGGCTCGCCCGGCAACCCTTGGGGATGGGGACAGGCTCAGGGGTGGATGCATCGAGCTCCGCTCGTCGCCCTCGTAGGCTGACAGAGGCATTTGACGACGAGGACGACGACGACGACGGCGACGACGACAGCGACGACGACGAAGGTAACGATCACGACGACAACGGGGACGGCGTCGCCCATTCATCGGATAGGGGCCCGATAGCCCGCCGTGTCCAGGACCGTGCGGATTCGCTATCGGGGGCCTATCGCCGATCTATCGCCGATGCATCGCCGATTCAAGCTCGATGTTTCCCCCCCTCAGCTGGTCCCCCCCGACCGTCCCCCCTCTACGACGAGGCCTCTACGAGGCTTCTCGCGGCTGGATTCCCATCAAAGTTCAGGCCAGCACCCTAGCAGTGGTCTGAGGGGCGATATTTCAGACCGTCGTCGTCGTCGTCGTCGTCGTTGCCGTCGACGTCTTCGCCGTCGACGTCGTGGACGTCGTCGGCATCGTGGATGTCGTCATCGTGGACGTCGTCGTCATCGTGGACGTCGTCGTCGTCGTGGGCCCTGTCCCTCGGCGGTGTGGCTTCAGCGCGGGGGCTGCGTCTTTCGCGCTGCCTGGGGGGGCCGCGGGTGGGCCCCGGCGGGGATCTCCTTGGCCCAGTACCTCTGGCCGCGGCGTCTCTTCGTTTTCGCGATCATCATTATCATCATCATCGTCATCATCATCGTCATCATCATCGTCATCATCGTCGTCATCATCATCATCATCGTCATCATCATCACCATCGTCGTCATCGTCATCATCATCGTCGTCATCATCATCACCATCGTCGTCATCGTCATCATCGTCGTCATCATCCTCATCGTCATCATCATCATCGTCATCATCATTATCATCACCAGCACCGTCATCATCATCATCAACAACATCATCGTAGGGTGTCATTGTCATCACCATCATAATCGTCATCATCACCATCACCAGCATCATCAGCATCATCCGCAGCAAGAGCACCATCATAACACTCATCATCACCATTGGCATCATCATAACCATCATCGTCATCATCATCATCGCCATCGGCATCACCATCAACATCACCATCATCATCATCATCATCAGCTGCTGCATAATCGCCATCATCATCAGCATCAGCATCAGCATCATCATCATCATCGTCATCACCATCATCATCATCATCATCATCGTCATCGTCATCATCATCATCATCATCATCATCATCATCATCATCATCATCATCATCATCATCCGGACGGCTATCGACTTGGAGCTCTGGACCGTCTAATCGAGGATCGACGACGACGACGACGACGACGGCGGCGACGACGGCGACGACGACGACGGCGGAGGCGACGGCAACAGCGACGACGATGGCGACGGCGACGGCGACTGCGACGGCGACTGCGACGGAGGGCCTGCGAAGGCCCTTCGAAGGGCCTCCGGAGGGCCATGGAAGCCCTCGGAGGCCGTCCAAGGCCTCCGTTGCGACGACGGCGACTGCGACGGAGGGCCTCTGATCACCCTCCGAGAAGGGCCTCCGACGGGCTATGGAAGACTTCGGAGGCCCAAAAGGAGGCAGACACGTCCACAAAACGTGAAACTCGAGCATCGAATTTTGAGGAGCAGTGCGCCCTCAACCCCCCGCAGACTGAGCTTGGATGATTCGGGTTGGTAAAATCAGAGATGAGGGACGCGATGGAATCTCGGTTAGCAGAAACATGAGTAGCCATGCTTGCTCGGCGTCAATCTTCGACGTCCTATGCCTCTTCTTCCTTTCTCATGTTAGGCAACTCTGCACATCATGTCCTCTTTTGTCAAGGTGGGAAAAGCCACCCCAACCCCGATTATTGGCGAACGGCCCTGGGCGTCTACTAAACATCCCTGCCCTGATCGATTCCTTCCTTGGGTGCGTTTACCACATGGCTTCGCTTTTCGGGGTACTTCTTATGTGGGTGGATTGGTGTTCTTTACTTAACATTATTTCACCATTGGCGGTACCCAAGCGCCCACCTGAGCGACAGAAGAAGCAAGCGTCGTCTTCACCGACATTGGCGCGCAAGTTGCCCGCATAAGGTCGCGCGTGAGCTCCCTCGTTTCCAGCGCAGTGTGCCGCGCTGGCGGTCCGCGTAACTAAGCTGCGGCGTAAGGCCGCTATGTCAACGATGACGTCGACGGCGGCGGCGACGGCGACGACGGCGGCGACGGCGGCGACGACGACCGCAATGGCGGCGGCGACGATAACGACGACGTCGACGACGACGACGTCGCCCTCATCGAATAGGGGCCCGATAGCCCGCCATGCGTCGTCGTTGTCACCATCGTCGTAGTCGTCGTAGTCGTCGTCGTCTTCGTCGTCGTTGCTTCGCCACTGGCGGCGCCCCAGCTCCCACCTGCAGTGCCCTGAGATCCGACGTTGCAAACAAATTTTGCAACCTCGTGAAGAAAAAAAATACGACCAAACCCCCGCACCCCATGAGCCGCATCGATCTGTGAGGGCCCCGGGGCCCGAACTTGGGCGAAAACGCCCGGTATGAAAAATACGGGGCCCAGAAATAGACACCACCACCACCCTCTTCCCTCACCCCCCCCCCCCCTCTCCCAGGAAGGAGGCGAGGGAGGGCAGGGTAGAGGGAGGAGGCATCGATGTGGTGGTGGTGTACCCAGACAGGCGACGTCCTGATTTTTTCAGGACGGGATCCCTGGAAGTCCCGACCCTTTCCCCGGGACCGGATTTTTATCCTGTATCGATTTTGACGGTCCCGAGGCACGGCGAGGTTCCCCCGAGGCCGAAAATGGCGAAACAAATCCCGTCCTGATGTTTTTTTTCCGACGCGATCATGTCTGGGTTGGATATTCCTCCTGTCGAGGAACATGCCCGACTTCAAAAATAGCCCGCAGGGGTGGGCGCCCAGGGACGATTTTTGCGATTCGATTGTCATTGTGTTTGATATGTTTTGACTACGTTTCATTGTTCGTCCAAAATCCGCCTTCAGGAGGACGTGCCCGACCTAAAGCTGAAGGGAAGAGCGACCTTTCTCCAGAGGGACCTTTGGGGTGCGGGCACAGGGGGGGCCCCTGGCAGAATGCGCTGCCACAGCAGCGGCTTTCGCGCTCCAGCTCGGCCTCCTCAGCGGCACCAGAACGGGGACGCACTAACGGGTACTTCGGAAAGTTGCTGACAGTTGCCATTTTAGGGCCTCTTTCTGGCATTGCAGCGTTGCCCACATCGGGGAGGCGTGGGTTCGCCGGGCCAAAGTACCCGTCAGTGAAGTCCCCGCTCACCTCTGAACGTCCAGCACCAACACTCTTGCCTCTCGGGTCACTCGTTGCGTGTGGTCGCCACGGGCGCCGCCGCGCCGGCGCCCGCGCGAGGAGCTGCGCGAGGAGCTGCGACTGGAGGACGGCGCCCGGGAGGCCGAGGAGCGCGCGGAGGACGGCGGGGCGCCGCCGCTCGGGGGCGACCAGGATGCGGGCGTGGCCAGGAGTGCTCATGGCCTTCAGTCGGGCATGTCCCTCTACAGGAGGAGTATGAACAGTTATTCAAGGATAGTCAAAGAATAGTCTGGGGACGATGTTTGGACTATTTTTGACTATGCTTGAGCATTTCTTGACTATGCTTTATTTTCCTTCAAAGATCCGCCTGTACGAGGACATGCCCGACCTAATCCTGGTCATGGCCCAAGGTGCCCCCAGGATTCTCGGGGTGGCCCAGACTCCAGGCCTCCCAGATGGGGTCGGAGGAGATGGGATCGGAGGATCGCGCCGCATCCACGATGCATCGCCGATGTGGCTCGATGCGGAGCCCGACTTTCCCCACGCCGATAGCGCGGATGCATCGCCGACGTCGACCATGCATCGCTGGTGCATCACCGATGCATCGCTGGTGCATCACCGATGCATCGGCGACGGCCTCCAGAGCACCCCTCAGGAGGCCCAGAAGGCTCGGCTGCACGTAGCAGTGACCTTTCGCCGGAGTGACGAGTGACTTTTGGTGCGGGCCCAGTGGCAGTTGGGCCCCCCGATGGCCGAATGCGATGCGATTGCAGTGGCTTTCGCGCCCAGTGAAGTCCCAAAGGGCCCCCCTTTGGGCCGCGCCCCACAGGTCACCCTTGCTTAGGGACACTCTTGCGTGTAGCCGAAAGGCCCCCAGGGGCTTTGAAATGGAGCGAAAAGCTGCGGGCACCTTGGGCCAGGGGCACTTCTAGAAACGCCCCAAAGATGGGGGGGGGGGGACTAGGGGGGGATATCATGGCGGGGGCCACGACACCTCCCCAGATTTCATGGCGGCTCTCCTTGAGATCCTGGCGACTCAATTCTTTCGAGCCGGGCGTTTCCGCTCAGGTTTGGGCCCCGGGACCCTTACAGATCGATCTGGCTCGAAAAATGGAGCAGAAAGATGGGGTCTAGGCTTTGGTCGTGGTTTATCACACTGCTCCAATTGTTTCGAGACGTCGGATCTCAGGGCCTCTCCAGATTTCATGGTGCCTCTTCTTATTTCAATGCGTTCCCAGTCCCCCCCCGTGGGCCGTGCACTCGCCGCCGGCCATGATTTCCCCCCCCCCCCACACCCTTCTTTTGGACGCCCCCGAGCCGTTGTCGTGGTCGTCGAACCTCGAACTTCGGTGCTCGACATGGGTCGAGTAGGAGATCGACTACAGCGTTGACTGACCCCATAGTCGATATCATAGGTGTCCAACCCTTGGTATCGAAAAGGTGGTGTGCACGAAATCCTGTTCAAGCGAAGGGGGGGTTACTTGGGCGGAACTTCTCAGATGGATATCGTGGAACAGCGCCCAATAGCGTTCGACAGCTTCAAACAGCGTCAAAGTGACGGGGGGCGGGCCTTTTCAGAAGGCTCGGAAGTCCTCCGGCCTTCTGAGAACTTCTGAGAAGTTGTTTCAAGCCTTCCCCGAAGACGCATAACATTTCTGAGAAGGCGCGGGTTTCTGAGAAAGCCCACCGCCTTCTGAGAAGGCCTTCTCCTTCTCACTTCCCACAAGGGCTGGCCGCCGATACACGTAAGAGTGACCCTCGCCAGAGTGACATTTTGTGCTGGCCTACTGGAGTCACCCGAATTCGCCGAGCGCGATGCGATGGCAGCGGTTTGCGCGCCTTGATTTGGCTTCTTGACGGCCCCCAGAAGCCGCGCACCAAAGGTCACTCTTGCCTAGGGTCACTCTTGCGTGTAGCCGATTGTCGTGATCGTCGAACCTCGAGTTTTGATGCTTGACATGGGTCGAGTAGGAGATCAACTACAGATGTGCTTCACCCCAAAATTATGTGTTCGCCGAGTCTACGAAAGAATACGCATGAGGTTCTTAGATTTGCGACAGCTCGGGCTGTTTTTGTTCGCATATTTGCCTGGGAACAAAAAACATGTCCAGGGTAAATCAATGCTGAAGTCGATCTCCTGCTCGAATGGTAAGGCCTCGGGCTGCGCACGGACATCCCCTTCAGGTATCGAGCGACGAAATCTATACATATCCACTGCTCCCCGGCCAGGCCCATCCTGTACTCAGGAGCTGCGTATACATACGCACTCCTGGCCAAGCCAGGAGGGCGTGGCGTATACATTGCTACTCGGTTCAGGATGGGCCTGGCCAGGGAGCAGTGGATATGTACCCAGACATGGTCGCATCGTTCAGAAATCAGGACGGCAGGTTTTGGGTCATTTTCGGCCTCGGGGGCCCTCGCCGGACCTCGGGGCCGTCAAAAAACGATTCGGGGCGAAAAGCCGGCCCCGGGGAAAGGGTCGGGACTTCCAGGGAACCCGTCCTGAAAAAATCAGGACGTCGCATGTCTGGGTAGAGATGTCGTCGCCCTCAGGTAGCTCCCGCGGGCCTCAACAGGCGCCCTCAGGCAGTCCGGGCTGGCCTCCCTCGGCCCCCCCACAGGTCGTCGGTAGCGGTCTCGGACTACTCGGCAGGGCCTGTGGAGGCCAGCCGGGACTTTAGTGGGCCCTGGAAACGACAGCCGTTTCTTTTACCGGTTCCGCTTTGCCGTTTTCTGTTGCCCGTTCCGTCGCCGTTTTGTTGCCGGTTCCGTCGCCGTTGTTGTTCCGTTTTCAGCTACGGTTCCCATTCACGAGGCATGTTTGTTCCCGTTTCCGGTTGCCGTTGTTTTACGGTTTCCACGTTCAAGAGACGTTTCTTCGGAAACGGTGAACAAACGGCCTTGCCGTTTCCAGGGCCCCCTAATGATGGGCCTGTTTTCCACCATAAGTCGGAGGGGGAGGGGGTCTTCCTCCTCCTCCTCCTCCTCCTCCTCCTCCTCCTCCTCCTCCTCCTCCTCCTCCTCCTCCTCCTCCTCCTCCTCCCCCCTCCCCCCCCTCCTCCTCCTCCTCCCCCTCCCCCTCCTCCTCCTCCTCCTCCGCCTCCTCCTCCTCCTCCTCCTCCTCCCCCTCCTTCTCCATCCCCCCTCCAACTTATGGTGGCGGCGGTGGAAAACAGGCCCATCACCGAAGGCCGGGACTGCCTGTGGGGGCTGCTGGTGTTCAACCCGAAGCCTTGCCATGTCGGGCTTCAAGGCTCGATGCCTCGAGGCGGACCCTCGGGGTGCGGAAAGGCGGTTCGCCACGCTCGGCTTCGAAGGGCCCAGTTTCGGGCCCTGCTACCAGCAGCAAATAAATGCACGACGCGGAGAACTGTCCAGGGTGGACCGCATGGGTCCAGAGGCCGATTTTGATCGGAGTCTGATGTCCGTCGCCATCGTCGTCGAACCTCGAGGTTCGATGGGCAAGGTTGTTGTCTTTCCTTGGCCCTTCTTGGGCCTCAGGGAGGCTTCTCGCGACCACGGCTGGACTCCCTTCGGAGTTCTGGTCGAACACACACCCTTGGAGAGAACCAGGGCGATTTTTGAAGGGGACTTCGTCGTCGCCAGCGTCGTCGTCGTACAGTCGGCGACGTCGCCGCTTGCGCCTCAGTGCTTTAACACATAACGCGCGTTATGTGGCATCCAACCCAGCCACCCACCCAGTAGATAACATAATGCCCTCCGCTTCACCCACCCCGTTGCAGCAGTGCATGTTGTTTAGCGCGCAGGTATGCTGTTCGTAGTGCGCGCAACGTGTTACGTTATGTGCCGGCGAACCCGCACACCCACCTAGCCACATAACGCGCGTTATGTGGTTTCAAAAAATGAGATCGTGGCTGATATGTCCTCCATATTTGGGCCTCTCGTGGAAGGAGGCGGGCGTGAAGGGGGGGATGAAGGAGGTGGGAGCAGGGGATGGAGGACCACGACGGTGAGGACGACGGTCGGCCACGGCGACGACCACCACCACGACCCGGCCGCGACGACGATGACGACGACGACGGCGACGACGCGCGCCGAGAGGCCCGCTTGGAGAGCGCAGCGGAGGACCGCCAAGAGGCGCGGAGGCTGCTTGACTCGAAGGCCGCAGCGGGGCCAGCCTTCTCCGTCCTCCCCTGGCTGTGGCGGCCGCGGCGAGCGATCTGACCCCTGAGCCGCCCGCCCCGTTCTTTTTGTTCCTTCGGCCGCGTCCTCTCGTCGTCCTCCTCTAGTATGGTGGCACAATTCGCTCTAACGGCATCCCCGCTTAAGTCTCTCATCGCCAGCGCTTTCACCCTCTGCCTAGCCGCCAACGCAAAAAGAGGCGGCCGCGGCGACAGGATTCTGACCCCCGCCCTTGGGCCCCGAGATCCTGGCGACTCAGCTTTGTCGAGCCGGGCGTTTCCTTGTCAGGCTTCGGGCCACGGGGCCCTCATATGGATCGATATCCGGCTCGCAAAGTGGCGCGGAGAGCTGGTGTCGGAGGCTCCGGTCGTGATTTTTCATGATGCTCCGACTTTTTCGAGACGTCGGATCTCGGGGGGGGCGCGCACGCCGACCTCCTCCTCCTCCTCCTTCTTCTCCTGCTCCTCCTCCTCCTCCTCCTCCTCCTCCTCATCATCATCCTCTTCTTCCTCCTCCTCCTCCTCCTCCTCCTCCTCCTTCTCATCCTCCTCCTCATCCTCTTCTTCTTCCTCCTCCTCCTCCTTATCCTCCTCCTCCTCGCGACGGTGTTTCAGACGCGTCGCCTTCAGCCGCCTTCGATGTCGAGCGGCGTCGATCCTCCGCGGAACCCCCTTGCGCCACATTCGAGCTCGAGCTGCCCAGTAGTCGATGGCTACACACGGATCCCGAGCGTTGGGGAGTGGTGCCGGACATTCATAGTTGGGGGTTGTGATATCCCCTTCTGGCTTGGCCACGCCCCACCCCCTCGTTGATCTCATCGTCCTCTCGCTCCACCTCACACCTCCCCTCTCTTCCGCCTCGTTGCCCCGTGGCCCTGCCTCTCCGCTTCTATACCGCCAACTATCCCTCCGCAATCCCCACGTGACGGGGGATAAGTTGCATGAAGGAGTGCCCATCGGTTGTTGAAAGTAGGTATCTTTGGATTCCCATCTCCCAATCTACTTTAGGCGCTTTCCTCCTTCAATGATCGAGTGGCTTCACCTCTTCCGTTCTCCTGAAGGGACAGACGGAAACCCAATCTACTTTCAACGCCTTCCTACGTAATGTTTCTAACTACTTCTTCCGACCGATGGGTAATGAGATGGTGGTGTTTGCCCCCCTGCGAGGTCATCCGCGCCCAGGCCGACGCACACAGCGCCGAGTCTGCCGCCGCCGCCGCGCAGCGGAGAGCGGACCGGCTGGGCATCGACGCCACGCGGTTGCGCCTGGGGTTGGCCGCCGCCGAAGAGAAGTTGCGTGCGGCGCGCGCCTCAGTGCGAGGGGCGGAGGGAGGTGGCAGACACGGCGAGGAAGACGACGGACGACGACGTTGCTGCCGCCATCGGAGACGGCGGCATCAGCGACGGCGCGATGGCGGTGGCGCTGGCGTCGGTGGCAATGAAGATGGTGGCGAAGACAGCGACGACGAGTGCGATGGCGGCGGCGGCAACGGCTTTCCAGGCCAGACTCTGCCAGTCGAGCACAGTGTGTCAAAGGCGCGTCTTCACCAGCGCACATCTTGGTCGCTTCCACGTCGGAGCCCTTGCCCACGGTCGTTCCCCAGAGGGCAGCAATACACCAGCATCCCCGGCCAGGGCCAGTCTGGAGACCATCGGAGGGTCCAACATCGCCCTGGGCATGGTGGTGGATGCCTCCTGCGTAATCATCGTCGACGGTGTGGTTTCCCACGGCGTGGACCCTTGGGCGTATCGTCCCCCTCCTGGGGACCGGCTTTTCATCATTGACAGCCCCAGGGCCTAGCAAGAGCTCCCAGATGCCGCAAATTGCCCAACATGTCCCGTCCTGCGCCACTCAAGGGATCAGGGCTCGGGGGTGAAAAAGTTAGCCCCCGAACCTCTCCTCAGACTTTCGAGGAGAAGCTTCTTGGAGCGGTACCAGAACCCATAAAAAAAGCCTTACGAAAGCTCAAAAATCATCGAAGGCCTGGGCCTCCCAACATAGGGTCAAGCGCAGATAGCATTGGAGGATCGCGACGCGGCGCGGTGCGCAGCCCGCTGTGTCTCCATTGCGACATCGACGATGCGTCGGCTCTGCGGCGCGGTGCTCCGCCTCCATCTGCCCAGACCTCATGTGAGAGGCCTCGTGCTGACCACGTCTTGAAAGCTCAAACATCGAAAATCAGGAGGAGGAGGAGGAGGAAAAGGAAAAGGAGGAGGAGGAGTAGGAGGAGGAGCAGGAGGAGGAGGAGGAGGAGGAGCAGGAGGAAGAGGAGGAGGAGGAGGAGGAGGAGGAGGTGGATGAGAAGAAGAGGGAGGAGGAGGAGGACGAGGGAAGGGGGAGGAGAAGAAGAGGGAGGAGGAGGAGGAGGAGGAGGAGAAGGAGGAGGAGGAGGAGGAGGAGTAGGAGGAGGAGGAGGAGGAAAAGGAGGACAGTCAGGGCGCCCTGGGCCTGCACAGCCCCCCCCCACCCAACCGAGGTGCAGCGGGAGCACCGCGAGCTGTCCGCCGGCGTCGGGCGCACGCTCCCGCAGCTGGAGCGCGTGCGCGGGGAGCTCTCGGCCGAGCAGGCGGTCGTGAGGGATCTGGAGGCGCCTCCCCGAGAAGCTACCCAGACAGCCAGAGCACTGGGCAGTGGATGGAGACGGAGGTGCTTCGCTGCCCTCGGCCTCTGGGGTGGGGGCCCCGGGGCCGTCAAGAGCTGCTCGGGCCTCAAGGCCTGCCCTGGGGAAGTGGTCGGGACGTCAGGGGGCCCGCATGGAACAGATTGAGGCCTCGGACGTCTGGGTGCGCAGAAGGCTCCACGTTGCCAACCACCCAGCCAGGGCCACCCTGGGCCACGGCATGGCGCAGGCGCCTCCCTCGCCGAGGCCAGGAGGATCTACAGTGGAGACCCATGCCAAGAGACACCCTGCTTGCCTCCAGGGTGCCCTGGGTTTCTCGGCTTTCGATGGTTTTGCTGTGGAACGCGACGTTCCCACACCAAAAAAACAATGCACGTCCTGGGGTCTCAGGGTTGGGTTTCTTGTGGAAGGTTTCTAGCGGAGGGGCCTGCACTGTAATTATGCACCTCCCTTGGGCCCAGGGTCGCGCTGGCCAGACCTGGCGGTGGTGCACAGAAGCCCTGCTGCCAGCACCTCCAGCAGCAGCAGCAGCAGCAGCAGCAGCAGAGGCCACAGCTCCCACGGACCGCCTGGCCGCTGGCGCACGAGCGCGGGAGGCACGAGGCGCACCCCCGTCGGGGTTCGAGTATTTAGGCTGTTGGGGTGCCTTGGCATCGCTCGGCTGTGCGTGTTTCTCGGCGAGGACCTTCGAGGAGCATCTTAGAGCATCGTGCGTACGGCGTAAGCATGAGCGCACGACATCGCAGAGCGCAGGGGTAATGGACGTCCGAGCGATGGCGAGTTGTTGGGGTGTTCTTCACACTGTTTGGGGCCTCCCGGAGCGGTCCCGTGGCAACAGCCAGATCCCACTCGAGAACTCCTGGCCGCAGGCCCTCCCGGGACGCCTCCGCGGGCCGACCTTGCCGCAACCCCCGCGTAGATCCCCAGGCCTCCGAGGCCTCCCAGATCGCTCCCGTGGCCTCTTTTGGTCGAGCTCCGACTGTAAATGAGGGGGTGGCAGTGAGGGCTGCAGAAAAGAGGCCCTTGAGGGCCCCTGAAGGAGGCCCTCTGGGGCCCCAGAAGGGGCCTTCCGGGCCCGACTGGGGCACCTTTTGCATCGCCCACCCCCATCTTTCTAGGAAAGCCAACCTCCGCGCGCGGATTCCTCCTCCGCGCGCCAGGGGCGGCGCCAGAGGCGCCGCCAGGGGGGGCTCCAGCGCTGATCCGAGGAACCCGCACAGACCTCCGAGTCTCCTACGATCGCCCCCCCAATTGTTGGGTCCCCTACTATCGCCCCCCATGGCTTTGCTGTTCATGTTCATGACATTGCTTGCTCCCCTACTATCGCCCCCCCCCCGTTCATTCGCGCCCAACCCGGACGAGGCCGCGGGAGGGGAGGGCCGATCCGCCGCCCCCCCGTGCCCAGACCTCCGAGAAGCCCCCTTGCCTTCCAGCCTTCCTGCAGCGGCGGCACCGCCGCTGCCCCCGCGCGCGCGGCCACGGCGGCCGCGGGCGCGCCGGCCCGAGGAGCGCACCAGCCAGCGGCGGCCTTCTCCTGCTGGCTTTAAGTAGGGCGTGCTCCTCTACAGGAGGAACATTCAAAAATAGTCAAAAAATAGCATGGTGGATGATGTGTTACTATTCCTGTTTATCTTTGAGTAGTTCTTTCTATTGTTCATGTGTCTATAAAATCCGCCTGTAGGAGGACATGCCCGACCTGATGCTGGCTTGCCCTGGCCTCGTCTCAGAGGCGCACGAGTCGGGGGAGGAAAAAGGCACCCACACACGTCTGTCGTTGAAGGTAGGTATTTTGGGATTCCCAGATCCCAATCCACTTCAGGCGCCTTCCACTTGAGGAGTCGATATGCGTTTGCTGTGTGCTGTTGTTATCTGGCGTGGCCTGGACCGAATCTATTGTATCCGCCTTTTCTACTTCGTGTTTACACCTGCTTCGTCCGACCGGCGTGTACCTCTACCCTCGCCCGTTTTCCCATTGCGGGGCACCTGGGAGGCCCTCGTCGCCACCGCTGGATTCGCTTCGAAACTCTGGTCAGAACGCACCCCTGGAGAGGTCTTCTTGGGAGTAGCGGCATCGGCACCTTCTCATTTCCCCGCTGCTGGCGTACTCCTGCACCTGTCATGGCGCCAACATCGCAGGGCGGATTCCGTTTGGAAAACGATGGGATGGACCCGGAGTGTCCTGGAGAATTTCGTTCCGGATTTCGAGGTGAATTTCGTGCAGTGAAGATTAAACATCCACGCGAAATTCATTCCGTTTTTCGCTCGCCGATTCGGGGTCTTGCATTGACAGAAATCCACGCCAAAAATCCGCTGCAGGACGTCTGCAAGGTCGGTGCAGTGACCCCTGCCTCGCTTCAGAGGTGCGAGAGGTCATGAGAATGATGCGCTCCAGGATTTCCTAGATTGCGTGGAATTCCCAGACTTCCTTATGTTGCGCTCACGGGCTGCAGAAGCGAGGGCCGGAAGCTACTCCAGGGTTCCTGGAGCGCAGCCTGAGCCAATCGCACCATGGCATCATTACAGCGGGGGCCCAGGCCAAGAAAACCCTGCTTGCCTCCAGGATGCCCTGGGTTTCTTGGGTTTCGATGGCTTTGCTGTGGGAAGTGCGACACTCCCACACCAAAAATCAATGGACGTCTTGGGGTCTCAGGTTGGGGTTTCTTGTGGAAGGTTTCTTGTGGACTGGCCTCCGCTGTATCGTCTTATTGTCCCCGGCCTACTGAGTGGAGCGCCGCGCTGTGCTGGAGTTTGTCCGACAAGTCGGGGGATGCAGGGGGGAAGGGTGAGGAAGCCAGGCGAGGGAGCGGTGCCGGTCCCGCTTCCCGTCCGTCGTCGCCACGGCTGGATGCGCGTCGGAAGTCTGGTCAGAGCGCAGCCCAGGAGTGGTCTGTGGAGTAGCGGTAGCGGTACCGTCTTGTCTTCCCAGGGTGGGGCGAAAAAAGGAAGGGAGGAAAGGACAGAGATCCAGCGGAAGCATGAAAGGAGAGAACCAGCGAAATAAGGATGGGAGAGGAGGAGAGGAGGAGAGACCAGAAGTAAGAGATGGGAGGATGGAGAAGGAGAGGGGTTCGAGAGGAATAGAGAGATGATATGTTGGACAGAAGATACAGCACAGAGGAGAGTAGACGAGGCGATCAGAGGGAAACGAAAGGTAGATAGAGGGGGAGAGAGAGAGAGAGGAACAAAACAACACATCGAGAGAGTTAGAGATAATGCTACCAATCATGAGATAAACGAGAGCGAGAAATAATGAATGGAGGGGCGAGGAGCGCGGAGAAGAGAGCGGAGAGGATATTGGCCTGAACAGGACAGGACAGTCCATGTCGGGGCAGGGCAAGGCAGGACAGCAGGGATAGAGTATAGACAAGTAAAGCATTCAAGTATCATCAGAGATACTAACCCTACCGATCATCCCTCATTGTACCCACTTGGTCATGTCTGCCCTGACCGCCATAGGGGCGAAGGGCGGCGGCGGCGAAGGAGACGAGGGCGAAGGCTAGAAGAAAAAGGGGAGACAATAAGTGAGCGGAGGGGAATCAGGGGAGAGAAGGCGAGGGCACCCGTCTACGAATTCGTTCGCATATCCATTCAGCCAACTGCCCACTCATGCATCCATAGGCCTGTCAGTCCAGTCATAGATTTGTCAATTCGCCCATGCTTCTATCCGTTCAACCTTAAGTCCGTCCATCCAGTGCGCCGTGGCTCGAGCCCGTTCGCTTCTGCAAGCGGAGGCTGAGACCCCAAACCGCAGAGGTGAGCCCCACCGGATTGGTCCCTGTGGGATACGCCTCCAAGCCGGACGCTCCAGCCAGTCCGTTGAGGTAACCTTTGATCCCAACCCGGCAGTTTGGGGGCTGTGAGATCTTATGATGAGCCGATGATCCCGTGCGGGTCCGTCCCATCACGCCACACAAGCCTCGGCGATCAGGCCTCACGGCGCCCCGTGCATCCACCCCCAGATGGCAAACGAGCGTCTTGCGTCCAGACGGCGGCCCAGTTCCAGACGCAACAGGAATCCCTGGGACTGGGCGTCCAGCGGTGGGGGGAGGCGATAAATTTCGGGGGAGACGGGGGAAGAAGGGTGCACCTCTCGTTCCCTAAAGGGGTGCTGAAGTGGCCCCCATGTGACCCAAAAGGGGCACGAAGGGTGCACGCTTCCCCAGACATGCGACGTCCTGATTTTTTCAATACGGGGTCCCCGGAAGTCCCGACCCGTTCCCCGGGACTGGATTCGCATCCTGAATAGTTTTTTAAGTCCTGCCCTGCGAGGGCCCCCCGAGGCCGAAGTTGGCCAAAAACTTACCGTCCTGATTTGTGCACGACGCGATCATGTTTGGGTCCCCCCCCCCACATCTATCGCCCCCCCATTCATTAACGCCCGAGGAAGCCCACCCCAGATGCCCCGGCAGCGCAGCCCCAGGCGGAGAGCCTCTCGTGTGTAGCAGAGCCCGCGGCCTGTCGGAGCGAGCGCGCCGCGGGGAGCAGGGAGGCCAGAGGCCTCTGCCCTGCTGCCGGAGGCCCTCTGGGGAGACGAGAGGGCGAAGATGATCCGCCTCACCCACGAGTGTGAGCAGTCGAGGCTGGCGGCCCCTCCGCTCTTTGCTCTCCTCTTCCCTCCCTCGCCTTCCTCCTCCATCTCCTCCTCCTCATTATCATCATTCGCCTTCCTCCTCCTCCTCCTCATCATCACCATCATCATCATCATCATCATCATCATCACCATCATCATCATCATCATCATCATAATCAGCAGCATCAGCATCAGCATCAGCATCAGCATCATCATCGTCATCATCATCATCAGCATCATAATCATCATCATCATCATCATCACCATCATCATCATCATCATCATCGTCATCATCATTATCATCACCATCATCATCATCATCATCATCATTCGCCTTCTCCTCCTCCTCCTCCTCCTCCTCCTCCTCCTCCTCCTCCTCCCTCTCATTCTTCTCAGCCTGCTCCGCCTCATCACTAAACAGCGCTTTGCGCGGATGCCGTGGAGGCCCAGACTTGCTGCCTCGCCAGGAACCTACTGCATTGAAACGCAAGGAAGCGCAGGTTGGATCACGCCTGCCGCCGCAAGCGCGTCCACGAGTGTGTGCATTCGGACGTCTGGCACGATCGGGGAAAAACTGATGTCACGGGCAACGCTACGGGGGCACTGGCTCTGGGGGGGACGCATCGACCCCCCCTTCACCCAGTCATGGCCGAATAGTCCACCCGGCCCAGGAACGTTGAGTCTCGCTATCGGGGGCCTATCGCCGATCTGTCAGCGATGTATCGCCGATTCCAGGTCGATTCTCCCCCCCCGAGCCACTCCCCCCAGTCGCTGCCACTAAAGATAGCAGAGCATCATTGCATTATCACGAGTCAGGTGCTAGAGCTATTGATCTGACGTTTGGTGTCCGTGCTGTGCCCAGTATGTATCATGTCGTGTTGATGTGTCCTTTTGTTTTCCTGACGATTGCACGTTATAAAATGGCATTGCACCCTTTGATTTGCATCGCATATTGTGCATGTCATCCGGCACCTGATTTGCACAATGTAGTATTTGAGTAGAGACCGTCATACGTATAAGTAATCAGACTTGTGGTCGTCATGGGCGCAATGGGCTAGGTCACAGATTTCCCACCCACGTCGCATGAAGCATGCGAATGGTGCGGTGGAGGAGAGAGGAGGAGGGTGCAGAAGGAGGACGTGGAGGACGGAGGAGACGGAGAAGGTAAGGAGGAGTGGAAGCAGCAGGAGGAGGAGGCGGGTCCTCGCCTCTCTCTCTCTCTCTCTTTCTCTCCGTCCCTCTCCCTCTATCTGTACGTATGCATGCAGGTATGTATGCCCGTCTCGCTGCATCTCTCTCTCTCTCCCTCTCTCTCTCTCTCTCTTTCTCCCTCCCTCTCTCTCTGCCTCCCTCTCCCTGCCTCTCTGTTTTCTGTTTTTTTCTCTCTCTCTCTCTCTCTTCTCTTTCTCTCCCTCCCCCCTGGAGCACTCCGCGCCGCCAGGCTGAGGTGGAGCGCGGAGGAGCGAAGCGCCGCGGAGGAGCTCGCGGCCACGACCGCCGCCAGCGAGGACTCGCCTCCGTCGCCGGCCGAGGGCGTCGGACCCGGACCTGGTCAGAGGCAACGTTCTCTAGGCCTTCCAGATGGGGTCGGAGCAGATGGGGTCGGAGGATCGTGCCGCATCGCCGATGCTTCGGCGATGCGTCTCGATGCGGAGCCCGATTTTCTCCACGCCGACGTCGCCGATGCGTCGTCGACGTCGCCAGTGCATGGCCGATGCATCGCCGATGCATCGTCGATGTATCGTCGATGTGGCGAGATCCTCCGACCCCATCTACTCCGACCCCATCTAGGAGGCCTCTACGCCAGGGGGTGGGACCAGCTCAGGCTCAGAGGCTCAGACGTCCGAGCTATGGCGAGGCGAGGGGCAACGGCTCAGGGTGGGTCAGGCACAGGGGAGGGAGCTTCGAGGTTCGAGTTACGTTTTCGAGGTTAGGTTGTATGGCTGCCCCCGCTTCCGAGGCAGTTAAAGGATTACGTTTTCGACGCTTCAGGACAGGTCGTGGGTTCGAGGTTCTAGCTTTTCTTGCGTTTTCGTCGCTCCTCGTCGGCTTGCCAACTTCGGGGTGCCTTCCAGCGGCTGCGCCTCGCCGACAGCGTCTTGGGGGGGCGCCCAGATCGCCGCGAGAGGCTGAGGGCCGAGCCATGACCCGAGAACCAGGGGCAGCGTTCGGGGGGGACAGGCGCAGGCTCAGGGGGGGATGCGTCGAACCACAATTCGCCCAATTCGCCCTCGTCCTCCTCCTCCATCTCCTCCTTCTCCTCCTCCTCCTCCTCCTCCTCCTCATTCTTCTCAACCTCCTCCTCATTCTTCTCAACCTCCTCCTTCTCCTCCTCCTCATTCTTCTCAACCTCCTCCGCATCATCACTAAACAGCGCTCTACGGGGATGCCGTGGAGGCCCAGACTTGCCGCCTCAACAGGAACATACTGCATTGAAACGCAAGGAAGCGCAGGTTGGATCACGCCTGCCGCCGCAAGCGCGTCCGCGAATGTGTGCATTCGGACGTCTGGCACCGATCGGGGAAGAACTGATGTCAGGGGCAACGTTACGGAGGGGACTGGCTCGGGGGGGATGCATCTACCCCCCCTTCGCCCAGTCATGGCCGATGGGGACCTGATAGCCAACCACGCCCAGGATGTGGCAGCAGGAGCAGCAGCAAATGGTTTTGGACTTGAGACAGTAAGGCGTACAGGTACCAGAAAGGGCCCAATCCCCTGGGCCCGGGTCAAGGAAACTAAAAGCCAAACCTGACCACAAAATTGTGCCAGAGACTCACACTGGTCAACCTTTCTAGTAGATTTAGCTGACCCGAGCGTGTGAAACACGCCTCAGCACACGGGCTTGGTGATTGTCACCTGCCCCTGTGTACCCACACTGCACGCCAGCGCACGCACATGTCTTAGGAGGACTGAAACTGGAACTGGCCGGAACCGTCGGACTCGGCACTGGACTCGGACACGAAAGACGTCCAACTGACGGACGCCCGATCCTTGGCGAATGTCCCGAGGGAGGCAGCTTGCGACCTTGCCCTCTGGGAAGGGTCCTCCCGCCTGCCGACCAGCTCTCGGTCCTCATCCAGCAGCAGTAGACGGCCTGACGCCATCAGGTCAAACAGGGCAGCGTTCACTTTGGTAACATCATCTTTCGTGAGGGGATCCACCGGCATCCTAGAATGTGGCACCCACCTCACGACACCTTTCGATCGCTCGAGCGACTCGCAGATGATCGCTAGATCCAGAGCCGTCCTTCTAAATTTCGCACTCGCAGTCCCATCCTTCGCTATCGTATCATAAATACTTTTAGGCGTCCACTACATGAATATGTGTCCTGTCGGAGGGCAGTGGCAAATTGTCCTGCAGCTCTTGAACACTCTGGATTATCTACATCCTGGAAAACTGCATCGCTGTACAGCACTTGCAGGTACTCGACTTCTGATACTGCTGATGCGAGGGCCAGCGCCTCGCCTGCGAGGGTGGATGGAACCTTTATTTAATCGCTTCGCTCATTCCGCCGGCCCATACAGTCTCATGTCTGCCGTTTGCCCGAGGGTTTGGTGTCAATGCGGCGCTTTGGAGGTTCCTGGGGCCGCTTGGGGGACTCCTGGGGCGCTCGGGGGGGCTGATGCGAGGGCCAGCGCCTCGCCTGCGAGGGTGGATGGAACCTTTCTTCTGAACTTGGACGACCTCCACCCGAGAATCGACGCCCTCACTGAACGATTCTGCAACACACTCTGATCAGTGGCCAGCACCATCCACGCCCCCTGGGTCGGATCCTCTGGGAGCCCCTTGGAGTCCCACCCCTCCGGCGTCAGAGAAGGTGATGAAGGCCATCTTGCTAGGATCGAGACGCCACACCGACAGGCCTCTGGAGGCCGTGCTCCTCAAATGACGCACCAGCTTGTCGGCACACGAAACGTCCCAAGAAGTCGCTTGTTCCAGCCTCGATGCCAGGATACTCGCTACTCCTGACGCTTCTGGTCGCCTCTCTCGACCTACCCAGTTCAGCTTGTATATGAGACCTCAGGGCCTTGAACTCTGTCGGGTCCAACTGGGTGTCCTTCTTGCTGAGCCTGCCAGGGGCCATGCTGAGGGGCCTGAGTTCCTCCAGGATGTATTTCTCCTGGTCAACTGTGATGCGCTGGGGTGTCCACGCTATCCTACGACCAGCGTAGTCCACCGGCGACACGTGCAGGCCCCGGTATTTACCAAAACGGACCCTAGACTCCAACATCACTCGCACTTGCTGCCTGACCTCGGGAGTGGACGACGCTATGAAGAAATCGTCGACTTCGAGCAGTATCATGCTCTCGAGGCCGTTCCCTTTCGTATGCTTCAACCACCAGCAGGGCTCTAACAGGGACCTCACATACCCATGATCGGAAAGGAACTGAATCACGGTCTTCCGCCACGCAACAGGAGCATCGTCCAGGCCGTATACATTTACAATGAGCTCGATGAGAGCTCCCTCCTCGACTCGAACTCCGTGGCAGAGCTCGACATATATTGGTCCACCTTCGCGCTTCATTGGATTCGACTGGCAGAGAGCATTTTTTACATCGGCTATGTCTCCGTACATGCCGTGATTCATCAGAACCTGCATGAACATCATCAGGGAAGCGGACTGAGGGGTCGGCGCAAAGACTGCGAGGGTGCCTGTGTCAGGGTCTTGGTGGCCATGGACACACCACCTAGACTTTGCTGTCGGCTCCGCAAACGTCCCCTCATGGGGCTTCCACCGGCGCACCATGCGAGACGAGATTCTCCTCTCGAGCTGCATCTCGCGGATTCTCTTCGTTTTATTCGGAGGACTGACGCGCGCGGCCCCGGAGTTCTCCATGTTGTTCCACTCGGCCCCGTCGGAAATCTCAAACTTGGCCCTCTCTGGACCGGACAGTTTCCATCCCTCGGCTGGCGGCGAAGACCTCTGTCTTGCGCTGGGAACCATAAAACTCTCCCGCAACGTGGCGGGGTTCATCCCCTGAGGTAGAGGGGGAGGGGTCTTCCTGGTATATCTCGACCCGCAAACCCCCGGACGGTTCGGCGCACACCAGAAATGATAAGGCCCCCCACTTTCTCCGTAATGCCTTGAGCTACCAGCACCATTGTCACGTCGGGGGGATCTCTCTCGTTCGGCCTTGGCTGCTATCTGATCCTCGATGTCCTGAACCCGCTCTGGAACGCTCCTGGGTCCTCCAGCCATCGGTCCCATGCCGAGGTCCGGCGACGGCGTTGTACCATGGGAGGAAGAGGCGCCTGGGTCAGGTGGAGTAGGGGAGGCAGAGAGCGGCAGCAGCTCGGTCCTGGAGCCAGGATCCGGAAGACCGGGAGGGGGATCGGTCCTGGGCTTCTTGGGCTCTGCTGTCCCCGAGTTGCGACTGGCCTCGCGGCTCTCGGCCGCGCTCCTGGATGTTCCTCTCCGGAGGATACAGGCGGGGACGTCCGAGGCTGCTCGAGCTTGGCTCGAGGTGTCGGGGGAAGTGGAGTAACCTTGGAGTCCTGCTTCTCCATTCGAGCCTCGTCCAGCGGTGGCGACTCTTCAGCTTCTCGAGCTTCGTCCAGCAGTGGCTTGGAGTCGCCCTCCATCGGGCCGCGCCCTGGGTCTCCCCAGCCGCCAGTCGCGGCTCCTCCTGAGAACCTGAGAAGTGGCATCGCGCGATACTTGACGCACGTTCGCTCTTGATTCGCTCTCGGCAACGGAAGACAGACGAGTGTATGGCTGAGCCACGTTCGAGGGTGCAACTGAAGGGGGACGAGACCCCCTACGGGCTCGAGCTCCAAACGTCCTCGCCAAAACTGGGAGACCTGGGTCGACAGATCCGGGCGGCTGGCTTGGTCCCAGGACAAGTCCGCTGGGAGCCCCTGGAGGCTCGACCGGGGTCCCAGGCACCCTTGGAGCCGGATCCCCCTCGGCTGCCAGCGGCCGATCCCAGGCTTCTTCGGGGGGCATCCCCTCTCGCTGGACGGCCACCGCTGTCGCGCGACCGTTTCGCGCTTGTTCCAGCAGCTCGCTCCAGTGCGGGTCCTGAGCCAGTTGCAATCCGTGTTCATCGCAGCCCACACCGTTCCCCCTTCCTGGAGCACGACAATTCCTGGCCCGGTCCAGGCGTCGCGGCGCACCCCCAGGCTCTCGGATCGGGCGGTGGCCCTGGCCATCCGCCTCCAGACAAACACCCGCTGTCCTGGAGTGAACGCCCTGGGAGGGGGGCCTCTAGCACGAGAAGCTTTCTGGATGTGATCGCGGGCGGTCGCTTCGATCGTCAACTGCTTCGCTCGCTCGCGCACTCGGTGAGCCCTCGCAAACTCGGCACCGGCAGCATCTTGCTCCGATGATCCTCTAACGACGTCCTGCCACCCTGGCAACCCCATCCCGTCGTCTGACAACAACTCCTGAGGGAGTCTCTGGTTATCTCCGAACGCAAGCTGGAGTGGCGAAAACCCTCACCAATGCTCGATTTTTGTGAGCCACTAGCTCATGGACCAGGGTCTCCAGTTCTTCCAGGGAGGCCAGAAGGTCTGAGCCTGAATCCAGCTCGGCTTGGGCTCGCTCTTTCGCCCATCCCCCGTGCCTCTCTACCCTTCCGTTCTGCCAGGGGCTATTGGCACCCGTGACGTGGTGGAGAATCCCTCACTGTTCCAAGCCTCTCCCGAAGCGGTCCTGGAATTCGGCTCCGCCGTCAGTATTCATGAAGTGGGGGGCGCCGAACGGTCTGATCCAGGCCTGGACAAACGCATGCCACGTGGTAGTAGCCCTGGCATCTCGCAGCCGCACGCACTCCTGGAGGTTTGACCCGTGGTCCACTAAATTCAGAACGGATGAGCATCACCCGCAAAACGAAGAAATAACAAGTCGGCCCCAAGGATGCGTTTAAACTGGAAGGTCCGAGGTAACGCCACTCGCCTGTGATTGTCGGGCCCCCGGCGTTCAGCGCACTCAGGGCACTTGAAGCAGTCCCTGATCCACCGAAGGATCCGGCGCTTGGTTCCCCCGGCCCTGAGGACACGTATGAACTTGCGATTTTTCGGGGTGACCCATGTTAGTATGCAGCTTACTTACCAGCCTCCGCTCTTCCTCGGAGGCGTGGGCTTCAGCCTCGGCCGGAGGGATCGTCGCCCTGCTCTGTCTGGTCTCGGGCACGTCGGGGTCGCTGTCCGAGCCGTCCTCGTCCACCCCGTCTGCCTCGCCGACGTCGGGAAAGTCCGGACAGGCGATGGCAGGGCAGGCGAGGACCCCCGGGCAGCACGGACCTCCCAACATGTCCGCTGACGAGACCGGCCGAGGAGGGGAGATCCCGTTCCAGGTATGTGCGCCTACGAACTTGGAGGGGTACACCTGGGCTTTCCGAGGAAGCTGGTTCTCTAATCTTACGTGGCGATGACCTTCGAGACATATGTGTCCCCGAATTGCCTGCTGGATCCCCGGGCGATTGGTTAGTATCCCTGTGGGCTTCTTGCTCAAACCGTCTGGGTGCACCTGGAGGTCGAGGGAGCACATATCGATCCTTAGCTTGCGTCCCCGGCAGCTGAGCCGCCAGCCCCATGACCTCGGAACCCCGCGACGTGGCAAAATATGGGTGCTCAAACGCAAAATATCGCCCGCGACGAGGCTGATGTATAGCCATTTCGACGCATAGAACCAGTGCTGGCAAACCCTCGGCCATCATGACCTTATATCTCTCGGGATCCGTTCGTTCTCGGCTGATGCTCTGGAGGAGAGAGAAGGCCCTGCACCCTGGACAAAGCCACGTCACTTGGGGCCGATCCCGCTTGAGGGTCTGCCACAGCGCGCGGACCGATTCAGGCCTGCGAGAATCCCATCCAAGGCGTCGATCGAGACTGGCTCTGGACAGAACTGTGACTCCTCTCTTTTCCTGCTCGTAGAGTAAACGAGGGGGGCAGAAAATCTCGACAAACGCCGTTCGACTCCGATCCTGGCGACCGGAAGGGTTCCCCTGGTCTCTCCCGCCCGGAGTCACAGCGCACAGCACGTCACCCCGTGAAGAGGCCATTGGACCCCCTTTTTCAGAGGCAAAAGTCACGATACAATCTCGATTTCTCCGGGGAAGGGCACTTCTCGGTCGTCATTAAACAAGTCGCCATCGAGCCATTGGCCCAGCTCTGCTCTTGACATCGGTGGGTCCCCGGCCCTCGCACGGGGAAACCCGAAGCACAGCCAGCTGGGCTGGGAGGAAAGGTCGGGGGCCGCGGCCTGGGCGTGCTGCTTCGGCTCAAAAACGCACGGGGACGGAGGGGGATGCGTAAAGAAAGGGAGGCAGAGGTGAGGTCGTGGAGAGGTCTGTCACACTTCCTGCGTTGAGCTGCCGTCCGAGCGCGACGGAGCATCCTCCGGGATCCTGCTGAGCACCACCTCCCAACCGGGTGTGGTTGGTGCTACCGCCTGTGGCGGTGTTCCCGGGACGCCGTTCCCGCCGCCGACGAGCCGTTGCTCGTTTGTCCCACTGCCTGCACAGCCCGGCCACCTGCATGGCAGTTGTCATGACCAACTGCCCGACCTGGTTCACCTGGCCTTCGAGGTTGGTGACTTGCGCCGCCAAGTTCACAACGTCCTGTCCGACCTGGTCGATCGCATCGCCCCGCGGCTCGAGCGTGCCCTCCAGCATGCGCCGAATCTGAGTCACTCCCTGGAGCACCTGCTGGTACGCCTCGGCCGACGAGTTCGGCTGGGCCTGGAGGATGGACACCTGCTCGTACACGCGGTTGAGCGCGTCCCGCATCTGGCCGAGGTTCTCCCGTCCGTGAGGCAACTGTTGGAGCTGAACGGAGACGGTCTGCAGCAGCTGCTCGGCATGGTTGACTGCGTTCAGGTTGGCTGCTCCTGGAACGACTCCTTGTGCCTCCAGCAGCTCTATTGCGCGCTCGGCTGAGTCCGCCGCCCGGCGAGCCGCCGCGGCCGCGGACTGCCTGTCGTCCCCAGCGGCTCCGCCGTTCCAGTTGACTCCGGCGGGTGCCCTGGGAATCCGCGTGATGCGTTCCCCGCAGTCCGTGCATCGGCTGCCATGTCCGTGCTGGTTCCCGTAGCATTTCCAGCGCGAGTGGGGATGGTGCCCCCGTCGCCGTCTGGGGGATCGTCGTCGTCGCCGATGACGACGAGCTGCCCGGTGCCGGGAGGGTCTCGGGAGCCCCCCGTCCTGGCGGCGGGACCTCCGGCTGAGGCTTCGGAGGTCCTAAATATGCTGGTACTGGTCCGCGTCGCCGCGCCCCGTGAGCCAGGGCGTCCATGTAGGCCTGGTTGACAACTGGAGTCCTGTCCTGCACGTACGCGACGATCGCCTCGGGCGGCGCCCCCGCTGGCCCAGCCGTCTGCGCTGCCTTGAGAGTCGGCGGTGGCGGCTTGACCGGTGGTGCCGGCATGCCCATCTGGCGTCGACGCTCTGCCACGATCGCCTCCGTGGCGTTGGCCGCGCCGGGCCGACGACCGCGGCTGCCTGACGTTCGCAGCCCTGGAGGCGGCTTGTATGGAGGGCGGAGGCCGCTGGCACGACCTCCCGCGCGCGGGGCTGCTGACTGCGCCTGGTCGACTGCTGGAGCGGCCTGCTGCCCCTGACCCCGCGCTGCTGCCACCGCAGTCTGCGGGTCTTGGGAGATGCTCCCTGGCATCAGCACCGGCGTCTCCTCGTCCATGGGCCCAGACTCCCGACCCAGAGGCTGGGACGGTGGGGTCTCGTCGGCCACGCTGAGAACCGTCGAGACGAGCGTTGCCAGGCACACTGCGCCACGGACCCACATCGGTAGCACTGGCTCATGGAGCGTCCTGGGGTGTGTGTGGCTGAGTCGGCGAGCTGTAGTCAACTGATACTGCTTGGGCCGAGATGGCTACGGAGTCCGAGGCTATCCGAGGCTGTCCTGTCGGTTTCGGGCCCCCGCCGATGTCGGTCCTGAACCTTAGTGGATTGGGGATCGCTCTGCACGAAACGTGATGATACCTATCCGATCCGGGGGGCCTCTGAGCTCGCGACCGCAACGCGACCGGCTGGCAACCTCTGACGCCCGCGGCCTCGTATTCCTGGTCCCTGAGGGTGTCCTCGTTGCCCTGGGCCCGACTCATGATGCAGGATGCAGAGGAGGGCCTCGCTAATCGTGCACATGGCCCCTAGGATCCCGACAAGGTCCTCTACGGCATAGTAGACCCTGCTCTGGTTCCTCCTGAGGCTGTCCCCTATGGAGGCCCCGAGGTTGAGAATGAGAAAGAGGAAGAGGAAGAGGCGGGACATGCACTTAGCCACAGCGCATACCGAGCCGTCCTCGGCCATCTCGAGAGGGCGTCCGCCCTCGGCAAGGCAAAAAGAGTCTGGCCGCAGAAAAGGATACTTCAGGAGGGCAATCGGCGAGACACGCACAGGCTGGGGCAACGGGCGCACGATGTCCGCCATCCTGTGTCCTGACGACAGCTTGTGAAGCGGTACCCGAGTGTCGAGCCTGGCGACCTTCGTGCGGTTCTTCGGCAGGTCGATGACGCATCCCAGGAAATCCAGGAGGTTCACGCTGATGATATGTGGCACGTCCTCGAGAAGCACCGTGGTCTCCACGATCCCGAGGACACCTCCCAGAGTCAGTGGGAACAGGATCGACCCCGCGATCTTGGCCTGGCCGCCGACTCCGTGGGCGGGTCGGATCGGCGATCCCTCTCCAGGAGGTACCACCACGCATGTCATCCCGAGGTCGCCGAGCGCCAGCGCCTCGCGGTTGAGGGTAGCCAGTCCTACTAGGTCGCTGCCGGCGCCTGGGTCCACCAGCCTTTGCGTCGGCCGAGCGATCAGGTGGATCTCGGAGATCTGGCCCTGGAGTTCTCGAAGCGATGCCAGGACGTCGTCGGTGGGTGGCGCCACACAGCCCGAGAACGCGTAAGACGCCAGCTGCTTGCCTGTCCTGGTCGGGTTGTCCTTCTTCGGCTTCGGGCACTCGTACTTCCAGTGGCCCTTCTCGCCGCAATTCTTGCACCGGGTGACCTTGATGACCTCTTCGAGGGGAAGGCCGCCGAGCCTGTGGCTCCTGCCTCGGCCCCGACCCTTGCCCCGGCCGCGCCCGCGCTCGAAGCGACCCCGGGGCGGCGGCGGTGGCCGCTGGCCGCTGAAGCTGGAGGGCCTGTCCCTGCCCGAGCCGCGGTAGTACTCTCTATCCTTCTTGGCCGCCCGCTTGAGATCCTTGTTCTCCTTCTACGTCCGCTTCTTCAGGGCGGCCAAGTAGCTCTCGACACCGTCCTCGTCGAGATCCACCTCTGACAACTCCAGCAGCACGGCATTGATCTCGTCCTGTGACATATCTTCGGTGTCATCGGAGTCGTCGTCGGACTGCTCATCGTCGTCCTCGGGTCCGGCACCGTCGTCCTCGGTCCAGCCTTGTTCCTGTGTGGAGTGGGGGAAGGCAGAGGAGGAGGGATCTGGAGCGCCGCCAGTCGCTTCTGGACCGTCGGCGAAATTGCCAGCGCTACGGCCTGGCAGCAGACGCTCAGGCGCGGTGAAGTCCAGCTGTCGGATGGCCCAACACACACTCTTGTACTCCAGATCGCCGCGGGTGAGGGTCCTCATGTTCTGCGTCCCCTGCGGTCATAGGGAGGCTCCTTCTTCCATCATGAGGCCCTTGAGCTTGTCCGAGGTCCAGAGGTCGTTGCCTTCGGCCTCCCGGAATTGTATCTCTCGGCGATCGACTGCAGCGTCTCCTTGGCCTCTCGTTGGCACTCGAACAGTGCCCGGCGACCGATGCGCCTGATCTCGTCGCCATCTCGCTCATCGGCCATCCGGTCGAGGCGGGTGAGCAGGTGGTTGAGCCAGGACTTGCTCTCTCGGGGATGTCCTCGAAGGACGTCTGCATCGTCCATGTAAACAACTTCATGAACTTCTCGTGCCGCTTGTAGGTCGGCACATCTGTGTATCGGTCCTATCGCTGCATCGCCGTCTTCCAAGTACGGTAGTATTGCCAGCCTGGCCAGGCTGGTGGGTCGCTGTAGTCTCCCTTCGTGTACCCGCCCAACGACCACCACGACCTACCTTCATCGTTCGAGCGCCAGTGCTGCTTGTCGTCGTCGTGCCAGCGTTGCTTGTCCTCGCTCCAGTCCTGGCCGTTGGAC